CTGAATTTCTGAATTTCTGAATTTCTGAATTTCTGAATTTCTGAATTTCTGAATTTCTGAATTTCTGAAATTTCTGAATTTCTGAATTTCTGAATTTCTGAAATTTCTAAATTTCTAAATTTCTGAATTTCTGAAATTTCTGAATTTCTGAAATTTCTGAATTTCTGAAATTTCTGAATTTCTGAAATTTCTGAATTTCTGAAATTCTGAAATTCTGAAATTCAGAATTTCAGAATTTCAGAATTTCAGAATTTCTAAATTTCTAAATTTCTAAATTTCTAAATTTCTAAATTTTTGAATTTCTGAATTTTTGAATTTCTGAATTTCTGAATTTCTCAATTTCTGAATTTCTGAATTTTTGAATTTCTGTATTTCAGAATTTCAGAATTTCTGAAATTTCTAATATTCGTATGGCCGAATCCTTTGAGTTTTTCTGTCTACGTGATTTTCTAGAAAAAAATTAATTTTCACTCTGATGTATGACAATAAATACTTTGTCATCAAAAATTCCGTTTTTTCGGATTTTTTTACAATTTCCGGGGGAAGTAAGGAAAATTGGATCGTCTGCCCGCAAATGTGAAATAATTGATAAGAGAATCACGTTTCGCCTTTTTTTTCTCTGCGTCTCCGTTTCCAGTGATTGTTCGTTGAGTAGCTCACATTCAGAAAATATTTTGAAATCGATTTTTCTAAATTCCCTGAAGTTTTAAAAATTTCTAAGTTTTTTGAATGAGTTCAGCGTGAAAAGAGGTTCGAAATGAGTATAAACAAGCCTAGGTTCCAGAATTTTCAGATATCGGCCCGAAAATCGGCCTAAAAGCCTGAAATTTTATTTTCACCACAACCTAGGCTTGTTTATACTCATTTTGAAGCTGGAATCTTGCAAAATGAAGTTGAATCTATGAAAACTGGTTTAAAGCAAGTTATGGTCATTTTTTTCCGAAAAAAAATTTGATTTCTGAATAACGGCCATAACTCTCGAAGTTTCAGTTGAATACGATAATTGATAAGTTTTCTGATTTTATCACATTTTTCGCTTCAAAATGAGTATAAACAAGCCTAGGCTCCAAATTTTCCAGATTTAGGCCCAAAAGCCTGAAAATCAATTTCCATCACAACCTGGGCTTGTTTATACTCATTTTGAAGCTCATAACCTGATAAATAAGAATGAATCCACAAAAACTAGTTAAACTATTATTAAAAACGTTATAGTAATTTTAGAAAGTTTCAATTTTTGCAAAAAAAATATTTTATTAAAAACTCGAAAAAATATCACGAAGCATCAATCAATCGAAACTGGGAATGGGACCTGGAAAAATATCAATTTTTCATCAAAATTTGGACCCGAGAACTCACAAAATTGGCAAGTTTTCGCACAAAAATCAATTTCCTGTTTCAGCGAACCCAAAAGATTTCTTAAACATCCGATTCTTGTCAATGGACACAAACTTTGGCCATTTTGATCCGTTTTATCTGAGCATTGCACTTCGCGGATTTTGTTTTCACGACAACACATTCCGTTTAGTACATTGATAGCCCCAACGGCACACAACCCACCAGTTGAAGCTGAAAATTTGAATTTTGGCTGGAAAAATTTGGTTAAATCTGATATTTATGAATCTAATAGTTTTTTATAAGTTTTTAGCTTCAAAATGAGTATAAACAAGCCTACGTTCCAGATAGTTCAGATTTCGGCTTAAAAACCGTCCTGAAAAGCCGGAAAATCAATTTTCAGCCAATCTAGGCATGTTTATACTCATTTCAAAGCAAAATACTTAAAAAATCTGTGAATTCAATCAAAAATCATGCTAGAATAGAATGTCGAGAGTTATGGCATTTTTTCAAAAGTCCAAATTTTTTGAAAATTTTTGAATAATATGATCATAACTTGTTAAAGAATAGTTTCCGACGCTTTTTATAGATACGGCCTTATTTTTCAGATTTTGAGCTTCAAAATGAGTATAAACAAGCCTAGGCCGGCAGAAAAATTGATTTTCAGGCCTTTAGGCCGATTTTCAGGCCGAAATCTAGAAATTTTAAACCTAGGCTTGTTTATGCTCATTTTGAAGCTCTTCTCACGTTGATTTTAATTTTGTCACTCAAAAAATCTGAAATCTCCTAGAGTTTTGAAAAAAAAAGATTCTTCAAAAAAAACTTGCGCCCGAATTCTCCTCCTTGTTCACAAATTGTCATTATATCCTTATCGGCCATGACAATAACAGACAGAGAAATTGCCAAAACTACAGTAGTCCGGAGCATTTTTGAACAAAAAAAAGTACTGATTTTTAGCTCTAGATTTTTCTTTTTATGGGATCCTAAAAATTTAGACTCCGCCCACTTTTTTTTTGAAAATCTCAAAACTATAAAATTTTTGGAAAATATCAAAAATCAGACAATTTTTTTGAAACAGCTGAATAAATATTGGAAATTTTTTTTCAAAAAATTAATTAAAGGATCAGCACCCTAAAACTTTTTTAAAAAATTTGTTCAGCTTTTTTTTAAACTGTGTGGAAGTTAGAAAAACACAGAGAAATCGTTTGAAAAAGTTTTGAATTTTGAAAAATAAGACAAAAAATCCAAATCGGAAGTTCTTTCTCAAGACTTCCAATACTACCTGGAGGTTCTATATGGATATAAAGGAATTGCTGGTGAGATACTGTACTTATCGCTTTTTTTTGAAGAATGAGCAGAATTCTATCAGTGGCTGATATGTTTGACACTCTTTTACTTGTCAAAAAATGCGAGGAATTTCTGGTTAATGATTCAAAATTGGGATTAAAAAAGAAGTTAGAATTGGCTGGAAATTATATGATGGAAGAGTTGAAAGTGAGTTTTTTAACTGGAATTAATTATATTGATTGATTTCAGAAAATGTGCTCGGATCAAATTAAATCAAGAGCGGATATTCGATCAGTCATTCCAGAGGATCCCAGTGAATTGGAACCAAAAATTGTTGCAGAGCTACTCAAAAAATCACTGGCTTTTGATTGAATTCGTGCATTTTTTTTTTAAATTTTATTTATTTTCTCATATGTCATAAAAATTTTATTTGTTATCTCTATTTATTCAAAATATGAAAAAATACTTAGAAAAACGGAAGTTGAACTTTCATTTCGTGTTGTTACCATTTGAAAGCTAACCGGAAATTTCAAATTTTAATTTTAATTAAATACAGGAAAGTTGCGAAAATTGAATTTTTGAAACTTTGATTCTCGATCACCCGGATCCAGGTCACCTGGTCAGGGTCACCCGGATCAAAGTCACCCGGATCCAGTTCACCCGGATCCAGGTCACCCGGTCAGGGTACCCGGATCCAGGTCAACCGGATCCAGGTCACTTGGTCAGGGTTACCCGGATCCAGGTCAACCGGATCCAGGTCACCTGGTCGGGTCACCTGGTCAGGGTCACCTGGTCAGGGTCACCTGGTCAGGGTCACCCGGATCGAGTTCACCCGGATCCAGGCCACCCGGTCAGGGTCACCCGGATCCAGGTCACCTGGTCAGGGTCACCCGGATCAAGGTCACCCGGATCCAGGTCAACCCGGTCAGGGTCACCCGGATCAAGGTCACCTGGATCCAGGTCACCTGGCCAGGGTCACCCGGATCAAGGTCACCCGGATCCAGGTCAACCCGGTCAGGGTCACCCGGATCAAGGTCACCTGGATCCAGTTCGCCCGCATCCAGGTCACCCGGTCAGGGTACCCGGATCCAGGTCAACCGGATCCAGGACCCAGGACCTAGGACCCAGGATCCCTGGGTCACCTTCTCTAGAGCCGAGAGAATGTGAGAACTGATTCTTCCTTTCATTTCCCTCTTCTTTTATATTACTCTCCCAAGGGTCAATGGTTTCTAAACCAATTCACGTAGTCGTTTTTATCTAGAATTTTAAATTTCTTTCGAAGTATTTTTTTTTCGACACGGGGTTCCTTTTTTAATTTTTTTTCGTCACGTTTAAATAAACTGGAATTTTTACTTTTGAAATCTGTGAAACTGCTTAAAAAGATCGTTCCTTCGAACCTAATTATCTCGTTTCCTGTTTGAGATATTTAAAATTTGTCAACTGATGAAATGCTTCTGATATCAAGACAAACATTTTCGTTTTCAAAATTTCTGAATATCTTTTACAGGAACCGAGATATATTTGGCCAAAGTTGAGAAATTATGGTTGTAATTTGTGGTTGGTTTACGCTCATCCGAATTTGAACCTTCTGGGCTTTAGTTTATATAAATACACCGGTTTTTAGTTTTTTATGTATATACGCCTCAGGCGCTTCAACACTGGGTGATTCGCGAAGGAATTTTCCAAACGGAAGACAACGATGTCTCTCGAAAAAGCAGTGTGTGATTTGTGTGAGTTACTGTAGCTACAGTAACTTTTTAAAGTCTAAAAATTTTCAGATATGGAGTCTCCAGAATATAAAAGTGCCAATACCACGAGTCCAGAGTACCAATTTAATTTAATTTGTTTATTGATTCTGCTGTGTGAAGTTAGATTTCTGCTCTTTCTACTGGCAGGTACAGTAATCGAAAAAAAAATTTTTCAGCCAAAAACACAAAAAAACCGTTTCAAAACACCCAAATAACCCGAAAACCACCAAAAAACTCTCAAAAATCTTGATTTTCAAAAAAGTGTACCAGATGGCTCAGTGGGATTTGACACCAAACTTTTCCGGTCCACAAGGCCAAAGTTCGATTCTTTCCGGGGTCAAAACTTTTTGATTTTTGTGTGGACCACAGAAATATAATTTTTGGTGTTCAAAATGACCGGAAAGTGTTTTTTGGAGAAAAAAATTTTCAGAGCTGGTTCTGGTATCTCTGCGGAGGTCTGATCCTTCTGGCAATCATCGGATCAATTGTCGGAAGTGTCTTGTGCTGCTGCCGTGGACGTGGCAGAGGTGAAACCGATCAATCGATCGATGAAGAGGCCAGTGAGCCGAGTGATCAGAGTCAGAAGCCTTGAGAACTCTAGAACTCTAAATAAATCTGCATAATTGGGTATAATAAAGAGAGATTTGATTGATTTTTTAATGTAAAATTTTGTGCTTTACATTTTTCTAGTTGACCGTTTTTTCTGGGATTTCTGGTTTTATAGATATAGCCCTAAAAACACTCTTAATAGGAGATATGGTGCATCGACCCGAAAATTTGAAATTTTCAGAATTTCTGTGAAAAAGTGTTAGAATTTTTAAATAGTTTCCAGTGTGAAATTTTGCGCTCTACATTTTTCTAGTTTACCGCTTTTCTCTAGGATCTCTAGTTTTTGAGATATTCCTTAATTACTGATGTGATATGGTGCATCGACCGCGAAAATATGAGCATTTTCGACCAACTGGGACTAATTGGAGCCATTTAAAAAGAAGCAGATGGTTCCTAATTAGTCGGTAGACAAAAGGAAAAAGTGATGCGGATAATCTAGGATACAGATATAATCTGAGCAATTAGGTGATGGGTGGGGTATCATTTGGCACCGTGCCAAAATAATTTCTAAAGGGGAAAAAATTAGTTTCTGAGCAATTTTCAGGCATCTAGGTCAAAATTAAAGATTTAGGGTCAAAAAAGGTACCAATATTATTTTATCAAGCTTTGAAAATCAATTTCGAAACAAAGATTCGTGAAAAAACGTTTAAAAGTCAGAGAGTGGTAGAGAACGAGAGTACGGCAAGAGAGTGAGAGACGCAGAGAACAGGAGGAGTCTCTCTCGCCCCCAATGGCATGCATGTTGCCCGGGAAACGAGAACATTATCAGCTTCGCTTTGACTTATCACTTGAAAATGGAAAAATATTTGTTCATGAATTTTTTTGGGATTTCTAGCTTCAAACTATTGTGCGTAGGAGACGTGGTGCATCGACCTGGAAACTGAAAATTTCCGGAACTTCAGGGAAACTTTTTTTTAAAATTAAATTTTTGGCAATTCTCTGGTTTAAAATTCAGTGCTCTACATTTTTCGATAGATTCTCTATTTTTTGAGATATAACCATAAACCGCTCTGAATTGGAGAAATGGTGCATCGATCCGAAAACTGGAAATTTACAGAATACCTGGGAGCACTTCTGTAAATCTAAAACCGTTTTCTAGTGTAAAATGTTGTGTTCTACACTTTTCTAGTTGATAGTTATTTTCTAGGATTTCTAGTTTTTTCGATATTCCATGATTATTGATGTGATATGGTGCATCGCACTTGGGTTTGAAGTGATTTGGAGCGTTTCAGGCCAATTTTAGCAATTTTCAGGATCACAAAGCATTCCGAAAATTCCAAAACTTCAGAAACTCTAAAAACTTTAAAATTTAAAAATTCTAGATTTTAGGCCCTATTCTAAACTACCGTAAAACCTCTAATAGAACGACACCCGGATCGTCCACT